AAGCGTTTTGTCTTCTATTTGATGCTTGGTTTTCTTGATTCTTTTATTTCTTTTAATTTTCTCATTTTTCCTTTGGTTTTCATTCTGGTGGGGGAGGTGAGGGGGGGGGAAGTACCAATTGGTTCCTTTTTTACCCCTCCTCTCCCCTCCCCACTCTCCCCACCCCCATGCCCCCAACTTCTCTAAAGCGTTTTTTTTGTCTTCGGTTCTGTGTCGTGTTTCCTGTGCTGATTGGTCCCAGTTTCTTGGGCTGAGCTGTTGACGTGATTGTTCTCCAAAAACGCATTGTGACGATTTTTTCATCAAAGCCAGTGTTCCTGTCCAACTACCATCCGGGTGGGCAGAAGGGGTCCCACAGCTGGGATGCTGGGACAGAAAGTGACCGTCCCACCCCCTCCCTCCAGGGCACCAGGGTGGGGGCATGGACAGATGGTGGGGGTGGGGGTGGGGGAGCAGAGCCTGGGTGGAGAGGGTGGGGAGCGCAGCCCAGTTTGCCTGACCGCCATGGCCGCCTTCCTTTCCCCAGAGATGGTGCCTCAACCTCCCAGGGCAGCCACGTTGGAAGGGAGCTGAAGCAGGTGTCCCGTGCTTCCACCTCCCCAAATTTAACCACAAGCCGAGGTGCAGCTGAATGAGCAGCAGCATTTTGAATTCGCCGTCTAACACAGGGACACAGCCAGATATGGGGAGTGGCCCGCGGACCGTGAGGGGTGATGAGGGCACCGTCCTCCCAGGGCCTTGCATGCTGGGCATGAAGTCAGCGCTCAGAATGACTTTTGCAGGACATAACTATTCCAGCTGGGCACAGACATGGGGCTGCCCATCCGAAAATAATGTAGCATGACAGACTGGATAAAAAAAAAAAAAAAGATTGGCTGGTTTTCCTGCCCAGGGAGCACTATTCCTTCGCCTCCCAGACGGCACTGGCTGCTTCCCCGCCCCGCCCCCTCTCAGGCTCTGGGCCCAGGCCACAGGTGCCTTTTGTCCAGCAACACAGCATGGTCACTTTCTGAGTGCCTGAGTGTCAGAGCTGTGGAATTCTGGCAGAAACCCAGGGGAACCTTGGACACAGCCTCCCCCTCCCCCCCCTTCTTTCTCTGCCTCTCTCTGCCTCTCTCTGTGCCTCCTCTCTCATCTCTTTCCCTGTCTCTCTCATTCTTGCAAAGCTGAGGCTCACATCCCATCTCCCACCCTCCCCCTCCCCCCAAGGAAAGCAGACCCTGAGAATTGAACTCCAACCTCAGATAAAATAAGATAAAATAACCATTTGAGGCGTGGCACCACCTGGCCCCTGCCCTCACCCCATGCTGCCTCACACGGATGCTCCTTGCAGGGTAGAGGCCTCCTGTAGCTCACCTGCCTTCTTTCCATTCCCAGCGATTAAACTGAGGCCATGTTAGCAAGAGGGCTGGAGATGCAACATGACAGGTGTGTTTTTCTCCTCTCCCCGCCATCCACATGTCAGAGCAGCCACACTGAGCCTCCTGGGGGGGAGAACCCCAAGATACATAAGACAGGGGTCTCCTGGTCCCAGGGTATTGAGTCTGAGGGGTGGCCAGAGACTCTGAAGACCACTTGTACTTTTGGGGGACGGTACAACCTAGCACTGAGTATAAAACGAACCCATGGCTGTTGAGTTGATTCCAATTCACGGGGACCATGTCTGAGACTGTAAATCTTTACAGAGGCAGACTGACACAGCGCTCTCTCCTGAAGCTGCAGCTGGGTTTGAGCCATTGAGAGCTGTTTGACCCTAGACTGGTCACTTGAGTCCCCGGTCCTCCTCTAGACAATGGACATCATTAGTGTGGCCAGCTTACAGGGTGACTGTGGGGCAGGCGTATTCTCTTGAGTGAATGCTTATCAGGCACTCTGTGTAGTACACAGCTTGGAAGAAGTCAATCGAGGGGCTGCTAGATGAGAAATAAGGGGTTTGGCAGACCATCTGGGTAGGTCACACTTCCTGGGTGCCTCAGCTTCCCTGTTGGAACCTCACAGGCACAACCTTTGTAGGGTGGCATTTGAGGCAAGTGTTCTGTGAAACACTGCCCTGCAGAAGTGAACTCAGTAGCTCAGATTGCTCTTCTTCTTTTTTTCTTCCTACCAGTACTGTTCAGAGTCCATGTGTGATGTGTTTCTCTTGCCTCCAGCCCCATCCCTGTAAGACGAATGCCCTCCCCAGACACACACACACACACACACACACACACACACACACACATCATCACTCATCCAGGAAATCCAGTGCCCACAGTCTCAAGAGGAAGGAATAAAGGCCCAATTGGAGCGTTAGCCACCTTTGCGGATAAGTTCCCTTCTCAGAACTCCCCCGGGGAAGATGCAGCTGAAGCACGTGACAAAATGGGAAGGTGATCAGATTGCAGTCTCCCCAGCTGTTAATTTCCTCTCATCCCTTTAAACTTGCGAGCCCTTGGGGTCAGTGTTAGTGGTGCAAGACGCTGTGTAATCAGCGCGCTGTGTAGCAACATAGCACTATTGAACCACGGCGCACCAAACCCACATAACTGGTGTGCCTCCCACCTGATGCTGTCAGAACTTGCAGGGGGAGCACTTCAGAGCTAGCAACATCAAGAACATTTCCTGTGTTTAAAGGACACAGGGCTTCAGAGAAGGCCAAACGGGGCTGAACTAATGACAAGCTTTAATGCAGAATCAAGAAATTGGGCTTCTCTTGATGCCCACCACAGGTGGGACCCCCTCCTGGATTGCCATGACTTCCAGGGTGTCTTCAGAACCCTCTTTTCGTGGCCCGACCCTGCGACGCGTTGCTCGCGAACCTGTATGATGGAATTTCATAGAACCGGTGGTCTTTTACGCCGTGCTCTGCACCTAAATCCCACAATCGGTGTACGTAACCCCGGGCATTTTCTTTACTTCCTGCCCCACCCCCCAAATCTGGCAGACATTGATTTTGGATCCAGATCACCTGTCACCAGCCACATCCCAGAGCCACTCCCATTGGGGTGTGTTGGCCCTAGTTCCCGCCTACCACACCTGTGGCCGTCTCCCTGCTCCTCCCCGCTCTCCCCGAGGGCCCTGACGATCCTGGGGGCAGGCAAAGGCACCTTAAGACTCAGCCCTTCTCCTTATCCCACCCTTATCTTTGGGGGAGAGGGGGCTCCAAGGGTGGGTGTGGCGGGAAGTAGGGAGGTGGGTGGTCTTCAGGAACACTGAGCTCAAGGTTACCTCTCTCGCCTGCTGCCTGCCTCACGCCCTTTTGCATCAATGTTTTCTCTGTGGGGGGGGGCAGATATTAGATTACACCTTGTCATTTGGAAAGAGCTTCACGACACAGGCGGCCACAGCGAGGGGAGTCAGTTGGCAATGAAATACCACCCTGTTTTTGTGCTAACACCCAAAAACAAAAGGGGAGAGAAGGGGGGGGTGTTCTGCCCTCCCCTATCGCCTCCCCCAAAAAACAATGTAAAAATATGGATTCCTCAGCCAAATGTCTAGCTCAAAGTGCCAAAGACTTGCCGAGGCTGCTGGCCAGCTCGTGGGCTGGGGGCCCTGCCAGGTCCCTCCCATTGCACGCTCTCCTGATGGAGGAGGGAGCTGGCGGTGGGAGGGGGAGGATGCAGGTGGACCAGGATGGGGCACAAAGGGGTAGGGGGCGGGGTGGGAAGGATGTCTCCGTGGAGACAAGCCTAGAGAGTAGGGAGGGGAAGGAGGAGAGGCCCTGGGCAGCCCCTGGGGCAGAACTCACCCTCCCTGGGCCACAAGCTTTGGGAGAGAGAGGAGGATTTGAGAATGAGGGTTTTGGAATTCCCCCCCTCCTTTTCCCGACAGGTGTAATCTAAGCTTAACTAAATACCTGAGGAGGCTCTGCATACCTTCTTGGCATCTCTTCCCTGCCCTCCCGACCTGCACCCTCATTTTGGAGTTCGGAGGAGGACCAAAGGGGCTCCTCTCACCCCAAAATGCCCAGCAGAACCTGGCCTCTCCCACCCCCACCCCCACCCCCTCGGAGCTGCTGCGGCTTGCTGACTGGTTGAGATGTTTGACACTGTACCCCGCCTAGTGCTTCAATCAAATCACCTCACTTTTGATTTCCCCTTCCCCGCCCTTCCCCCCTTCTCCGCACCCCCTCCCCTTTTTTTTTTTTTTTTTGGTTTTTGCCTTTTCTGCCTCTTCCTGCCTGGGGGAGGGGCCGTCTCCTGGTTGCTTTGACGGATTTTTGAGTTGTTTTTCCATGTGAATCGGGGTTTGAAGCGACCATCCCCTCCCCAAACCCACCACCCCCTGCCCACCTCCCCACCGCCCAATCCTCCGGACCACCCCCCCCTCACCCACGCGGGTCCCCTCGCTGGGACCCCCGGCTACTCGGTGACGAGAAGAGCTGGAACAAGAGCCAGCTGGAGCGTGCTGAGGACCAAGGCTGGTGTGGTCCCCCTATAACCCACCTGGACCCTCCATTCAGGTCGGTAATTGGGGGCGGGGCTCCCGCGGGGCCTCTCTGTCCCGTGGGCCCCGCGCCCACCTTACTCTCTAACCCGCACCTCAAGCTTGCAGCCAGGGGTGGAAAGACGACGCGGGTGGGTGTCAGCACCGAACCAGGCAGAACACAGCATCAGCACCCCCACCCACCTCCGTCCAGGGGGAGTCCAGTCCTCAGACTCGGGGCAAACCAGCCTCTTCCTCCGGCACAGGGTGGGTGAGGGGGCAAGCGGGCACAGGGTCAACAGAACCCTGATTGGGCAGATCCAGTTAACCGATGGCTGCCGGCCACCTAGGCGATTCTGAGCACTGAGATTCCGGTCACGGATAAAACGATCTCCTGAGTGTCCCCGACTTGGAGTGAACCGCCCTGAAGAGCAAGTCTGTGCCACTCCCAAGATGTAAGCCCTGGATGATAGGGCACATGGATGAACTCCCAGCTGATTAAGAGAAGAGGCGCGAGGAAGGGTGTAGGCCTTGCCTCTGTATTAAAGCTGACAGTGCCTTCCCACTGACAATACCCCCTAAAGGGAAGTGCCTTAAGAGGTCAAGGGCGAACAGAGTGTTGGGGTGAGGTAGTAAGTCTTAGGGAAGGGGTAAATTGGGTTCCCCTTTAACCTTGCCACCCCCAAACTGGGTCCAGTAATAGGCTCCAGCAAGCCCTTATACATAAGCCTTAGTCCATGGGCCTTTTACTGATGTGCCTGGACATTTCTTAGGAGGCCTCCTGGTTATTGTTCACCTGGTGCTTCCTGGCAAGATGCAGCTGACCGAACTGTGAGGGGCCCCTTTGCCCAGTCTGGTGTCCCTGAAGGGCTGGAGGCTACGAAGGGACAAAAACTCCAGGTTGTGAGTCTCTTTCCCACCGCCCAGAGCCAGCCTACTGGTTGTGGCGAGTGGGGGTACCAGGAGCAGGGTTTAGGCAGGCCTGGCTCTAGGCTCTCAGCCTCCTCCTCGTCCTTTGTGACTTCCAGAAAGCCCTATCCCTCCTCTGTTCCCTCCTCCACAAATCGGGCCCAGGGACACTAGTCTCGTAAAAGTCGTCGGGCCAGAAAGCGCGAGATGGGAAATCGGTGGAAGTTCTTCGCCACTTCCGTCTTGCAGTGGCGTCGAGGTTACAATGCCTGAGGTCAGGAGTTCGAAACCCGCAGCCGCTCTGGGGGTGGGGGAGAGAGACGGGGCTGTCTACTCCTGTGAAGAGTTACAGTCTCAGAAGCTCAGAGAGGCAGGTCTACCCTGTCTGTTAGGTAGAGTCACACATCCGCAGTGAGTTATGTTGAAAACGGTACCCCAGCTCCTTTACAAAGAGATGCTATCTGATCCTCGGAGCACCCAGTGTGGCTGGAGGAGTCTTCCCACCTGCACGCCTCGGCTGAGCGTCTACTGCGTGCCGGCCGCCTCTTCCCCGACTGGCCAGGCCCCTGTCCTTCCTCAGGCGTCTCCAGTCCTCCCCCATCTGGTTCAGTTTTGCTCTGGGGGAGGGGACCCTGGAGAGAAGGTGCCTCCCCGTGAGGCCGGGCTGGTTTGCCCTAAAGAGCCTTTCTCCATGAGGGTCCTGCCCCTGCCAACACCTCGAACCCTCAGCTGAGGCGCTTGGGGGGGCCAGATCCTGTGTTCTGCCCGGGAGGGGGGGGCACCTCCCTGGGGAGACCACCGCTCCCTTCCTTTCAGACCCCGATTTTCAGCCCCACACCCATTCCATGTTTTCTTCTTGCTTTGAGGTGGTTTGAGTTCTTTTGTATTATTATTTCTGTTCTTGTTGGAGGGTTTAGAGAACTCTGGAGGGGGGGGGCAGTGTTTTTGATTTTTTTTTTAACTTTTTTTTTTATGGATTTTTTTTTTATCCCCCCGTCTTTTGGCTTCTTCTTCTTTTTTTTCTTCATTTGTTTCTCCCGGTTTTGTTTTGGACGTTGACTCCGTGTTGTGTCCTGATTAATTAGCTCCTCCATGCGCATCCCCATCCTGTTCTGTTTCCATGGCAGCAGCGTCCTGGGCATCCCACCACCCACCCAGTGCCTCCTGTGGATGCCGGCGGCTGGCCAGGACTGCGGCCCCTGGCCGGCTGGAACCCATTCCCCTCCACCCAGCCCTGCCGGGGGAAAAGCTCCCCTGCCCCATCTCAGCCCCTCACCCCACTGCCCCTCACACACAACCCACCCCCAGTCTGTCTGCATGCCCCCTCTGTGTCTCCCCACCACCCTGCCCCCCTCTTTCCTGCCAGCAATCCCTTCCACTCTTTCATCCTGTCTCCAGTGTGAGTCCGGACTTTTCGTGGGGCTCCGTTTTCCGAAGGGCTACCAGCTTCCTGCCTCCGACTCCCACCGGCACAACACACTCCCCTCCTCGTCTCCTGCCAGGATTGAGGGAGCAGGGTGGGCAGGAATGGAGGCTGGAATGGGGCGGGAGTCGGGGCATCCTCCCCTCGGGCCCTGGAGCCCCCTGTATCTGCAGGGTGGGCTGGATCCCCGGGACAAGACTCCTTTCCCCTCACAGGGTGGTCTCACCTTCCCAAGCCCCCAGCCCCTCATTCACCCACAGTTAGGGAGCTGAGTGACACGGGACTGCTTTAGACCCTGAGCCTTTGCCCCTTTCCAGAAAGTGGGGTTCACTCCGCTGGCCCGAGAACTTCGCTGCAGCCATCCCATGGGGCAGCAGTGCCCTGGGGGAAGTCTAGGTGCCCACTAGCATCCACCCCTTTGCCCCTGCCCCGAGACCCATTGGACTTCCGAAAATGGAGCCTCCGAAATGCATCCTGCCGCCTTTGTGGTCTGCAGTTGGGACGGACAGACGGAAGGCTGCATCCACTCCCCCCCCCTGCTAAGAAATGCCCAGGACATATCTGTTTTCCTCAACTTTCAAGTTCATTCCCCCGTTTATTATTCCTATTCTTATTATCAATATCCTATCTATTATTCCGCCAGGGCTGTGATGTGACAATGTGACGTGTCGCATTGGGTCACATCTGCTAGAATTAATATACAGCATTGAAGTGGGCCCCCTCCCCTCCTCCTCTCTCTTTCTCTGTCCTTCTTTCCCTGTCCCCCTCTCTCTCCCTCCCTCCCTCTGTCTCTCTCTCTCTCACCTGTCTCCCCTCTCTGGTACCCACAAGGGTGTGCACTGGAGGCCCCTGAGGTCAAGGCCTCCCCTTCACATTACCTCTGCCTCCCTCTCCCTCTCTCTGCCCTCCTTCTGCCTGACTTTCGCGGTCTCGCCCTCTCTCTTCCTCTCAACCGAGTTTGCATGATGTTTGTGACTCAGAGCTGCATCTATTGATGGAAACTTGTCAGATCCGACAGAAGCTTTTAGAGGGGTTTCTATACCCCAAAACCACAAAAATTTCATTAGAGTTTCTCATCTTTTCCTGGAGGGCCCCGGGGAAGTGGGCAGGGCCCCTGAGTCCCAGGGGGGATGAGGGTGGGGAGGGCCACGTTTCCAGGCCCCTCCCTCTGCCTCCTAATTCCACCTCTCCTACCACCTGCCCCGCCTCTGTCACCGTAACCAGGGAGGGTCAGAAATCGGACCCTCCCGTCTTACCCCTGCCACCCCGACACTGGCAGCCAGACTCTCCCCAACGGTATCTGAAGCGGCCACCTCTCCTCGGAAGCCGGTGTAGGGGCCGCTCCCCAAAACAGCAAAGATGAGAAACAGCTGATAAATTTTTGTGTCCGTATCTGTCGCTGTGACCAGGACCCCTGGTCTCGGAAACCCTGTTGCTATGAGATAATGCTTCATGTCTCTTTATTATATATTGATATCTCTCTCTATATTGTTTGTGAAGTACCTGCCTTTTGAAGTTTTGCTTTCTTTGTGTTGGAATTTGGTTCTTTCATTTAGTTCGTTTTTTTGTTGTTTTGTTTTGTTTTTTTCCTTTTTGTTTGAAAAAAAAAATTCAACTGGGGGGAAGGAAACAGCCCTGTTTATATTTAAATGGTTTTCCGCTTTTTTTTTTTCCTTTTTTGTTTTTGTTTTTTGTTTTTGTTTTTATTCCTTTCTTTCTTTCCTATCTTTCTTCCTTCCTCCTGCTTGTCTTTTCCTGTTTCCTCCGCACCTGTCTTTCCCTCCCCGCTGCGCCCCGCGCCGCTCCCACCCGCCGGCACGGCCCCAGTGCGACGCGTGGCCCCCCGCTTCTCCATCTTGCCCATGAGCCACGAGATCATGCCGGGCGGTAACGTGAACATCACCTGCGTGGCGGTGGGCTCGCCCATGCCGTACGTCAAGTGGATGCAGGGGGCGGAGGACCTGACGCCCGAGGATGACATGCCCGTGGGCCGAAACGTCCTGGAGCTCACGGACGTCAAGGACTCGGCCAACTACACGTGTGTGGCCATGTCCAGCCTGGGCGTCATCGAGGCTGTGGCCCAGATCACGGTCAAGTGTAAGTGGGGGCGCGGGGTGGGGTGGGGGGTGGGGGGTGCCAGGGCAAGCAGGGAAACATCAGTGAGTTGGCCTCGTTTGACGCGTCTGAAAAGGACAGTTACGGTTTGGGATAAAGACATAATGGCTGGAGCCCCGGTGGCGTAGTGGTTACCTGTTGAGCTGCTAGCTGCACGGTCCACAGTTCGAATCCACCAGCCAGCGTGGCTGGAGAAAGATGAGGCTTTCTCCTGCCGTAGAGTCAGTCTTGGGAACCCACCGGGGCTCTGTGAGTCAGAGCTGACTCGATGGCAATGAGTTTGGTGATGTTCCTTTGGTAGGTGGCCCCCAGGAGGTGTCCTGTCGCCAGGCAGGGCTTTCTTGCACAGCACCCGCAGGTGGATGGGGACCTGCAGCCTGCCAGGCAGCAGCTGAACATGCTCCCCATTTGTCCCGCCCGCCCAAGGTCTCAAGGTTGAGCTAGAGCGTCACCCTCTGTAGCAGGAAGATGCAGCTATGACAAGAGAGTCCCCCCCCACCCCCCAGCTCAGGCCCTACGGACAGTGAAGGTGCATGCTTAGCTGTCACTGACAGGCTGCAGGGTCAAGGTTCTACCCAGACTCACCTCGGAAGAAACGCCTAGTGATCTCTTTACAAAAACACCAAGTCGGCTACTTCCTGAGGGGCGTGGGGAGGGGGGGGTAAGGACCAAGACACTGAGAGTAACTCTACCCTGAGACCCTTGGGGTCGACGGGAGTCCGTGCAGGCCCACTGACAGCTGGTTTTGATGTTCTAAGGGTGGGGTGGTCGTTCACAGGTGCCGCACCAGCCCAGAGCAAAGGCCTCCCCTCCTGGGAAAGGTAGGTCAGCAAAGGAAGGTGTGTCAGGCAGAGGAACAGCATGCACGAAGGCTCAGAGGGAGAAAGACTAGAGGGCCTCAGGGAGTCGCGTCCGTGTGAGGCTCCCAGGAGGCTGCCTGCACGGATCCTCCCAGTCAGAGAGCAGCCACACCCGGCCCCCCGGCAGCGAATTAAAGTTTTATGGGCACGGCCACGCACACCCTTCTGTTGACTCTCAGGCCACAGAATTTAAGTGGTAGCCGCTGAGACGGTCTGGCCTACAAGGCCGAAGGCAGTGTAATACTGCCCTCCCTCTTTCCGGAAGGCCTGAGCATGCCCCGCTCCAGGAAGTGGCCCCGTCAGCAGGCAGAAGGGATCGACCTGCTCTGCAGGCCCCAGGCTGTGAGGCAGGCCTTGAGGGGTGGTGTTTGAGACGTGGCCGACTGGGTGGGCGCGGAGGGCTCCAGGTACAGGGAACAGCAGGCGTACAGTGGGACTTGTACAGGGAACAGCAGGCGTACAGCCTGAAGAGACTAACCAGCCAGGGACCAGATGCAGCCGAGCTTAGTGAGTAAATACTTCCCTCCCGCTCTGTGCACGAGACTCCTCTCCCCAAGGCTGTTGTGATGAAGTACTAAGCCTCCCAGGTGGCTTAGTGGTTATGATTGGGGCTGCTAACCACAAGGTCAGCAGTTCAAAACCACCAGCCACTCCTTGGGAGACAGACGGAGACTTTCTAATCCCATAAAGAGTTACAGTCTTGGAAACCCACAGGGTCAGTTCTACCCTGTCCTGTAGGGTCTCTGAGAGTTGGAATAGAATCCATGGTGGTGATTTTCAGACTAGGTAGGGTGAGGCACACGGCGCATATCCTCACCCAGTTCAGGAGGTTAGAAACCTGAGGACTTGGGTGGGAGCAGGGCCAGCTCTCCCTGTGGGCACCCAGGCAGGGTCCCTCCTTGCCTCATCCAGTTTCTGGCTGTTGCTGGCAGCCGTTGGCTGTGGCTGCATCGCCCCACTCTCTGGCTCTGTCTTGCACAATCTGTGTGCCTCCACTTTGATGAGGTTGCCACCCCACCCCCCACCCCCCAGGATTACACAAAGCTCCTGCCACTGACCGGAAGGTTGGCAGTTCCAACCCATCATCCAGTCTGTGGGGCCTATTCCCATGACGATGAACTAAACCCACTGCCTTCGAGTCGATTCCAGCTCACAGTGACCCTAGAGGTCAAAGCAGAACTGCCCCGTGGGGTTCTGAGTCTTGACGGGGGTACAAAGCCCCATCTTTATCCCTCGGAGCAGCTGGTGGGTTTGAACCACCAACGTGATACAGCATAGCCCAGTGTTTAACCTGCTACACCAAGGGCTTCTGGGACCGCCTGGGAAGCCCTGTGGGGCAGATCCGACCTGCCCTGTAGGGTCGCCATGAGTCCTAATGGGCTGCAAGCACCTCGGATTAGTACCTGCCCCACTGCAGTACTGCAGTGTGAGCCCTAATAGCTGGTCCCTGATGGCGGCACACCCCCCGTTAGCCAACCCCAGACCGTGGTCTCCCGTGAGCCAACCCCCGACTGAGACAGGTCCTTCCGTGAACCAAGCCCCGACTGCAATGCGATCCCCCCTGAGCTGATTCCAGGCTGAGAGGGTGTGAGCCAGTCCTCGACGGTGAGGCTCGCCCTCCCGTGAGCCCACCCCAGACTGCAGGGAGACTTCCTGAGCCAGTTGCCAACTGCAGCGTGAGGTCCCGGGAGCTGCTCCCACCTGCGGAAGCGCTAGTTCCCAGCACAGCCACCTCCGCAGGTGTTCAGAGTCGGGACTGGGGCCCGTCTCTTTAGTCTTTTTTAACCCATCACCTGGGCCCCAGTCCCGGTCACAGCCACAGCATTCAGAACAGCCCACAAACAGCATGGGCAACCCCCAGCTGTCCTTGCACCTGCAGGTGCCATCAAAGAATTCCAGGCGCAGTGAGGGCAGGGGAGTGGCTGAAAGCCACACCCAGCCTCGAGGTTACCCCACGAGGGATGCCTTCCCCCACCTGCCCCCACAGCTCTCCCCAAAGCCCCCGGGACTCCTGTGGTGACAGAGAACACGGCCACCAGCATCACCATCACCTGGGACTCGGGCAACCCCGACCCTGTGTCCTACTACGTCATCGAATACAAGTCCAAGAGCCAGGACGGGCCGTACCAGATCAAGGAGGACATCACCACCACCCGCTACAGCATCGGCGGCCTGAGCCCCAACTCTGAGTACGAGATCTGGGTGTCGGCCGTCAACTCCATTGGCCAGGGCCCGCCCAGCGAGTCGGTGGTGACGCGCACGGGCGAGCAGGCGCCGGCCAGCGCCCCCCGCAACGTGCAGGCACGGATGCTGAGCGCCACCACCATGATCATCCAGTGGGAGGAGCCCGTGGAGCCCAACGGCCTGATCCGCGGCTACCGGGTCTACTACACCATGGAGCCAGAGCACCCCGTGGGCAACTGGCAGAAGCACAACGTGGACGACAGCCTGCTGACCACCGTGGGCAGCCTGCTGGAGGACGAGACCTACACCGTGCGGGTGCTGGCCTTCACCTCTGTGGGCGACGGGCCCCTCTCGGACCCCATCCAGGTCAAGACGCAGCAGGGAGGTGAGGCCCGCGGCGGGGTCACCCCGGGGTGGCGGGTAAGGTGATGGTTCACCGCGCTCGGCCCAGGGAGGTTGGAAAAACTTCCCACACCAACCAGAAGGTTCAAGTCCACCCCTAGGCTCCTTGGGAGAAAGGCCTGGCAATTTTACTTGGACATGCACGCTGGAACGAACCAGGCTGGTGTGTTGGTTCTGTGGTGCGGTGGGCTTGTGTTTGGTGTGTGACTGGTGTATCCTCCTTTCTCTGTCACCCCCCCCCAACAGTTATATTCACACATCATTTACATGTCAGACTGTTCCTATAGTTCATTCGTATCAAGGGGAGTTGTAAAATCACCACTACCTCTATCTTACAGCCAACCCCGCTCCCCACACCCCAATGGTTAAATCGCCTTTATCGGAGTTGGGCAATCACGATCAGTTCTAACGCTCCCTCTCCCCTCTCGCCCTCGTTATTTACTCCTGAAATCCCCTTTCCCTCCCTATCGCCCAGCCCCTGCCCTGTGTTCCCCACAACACATTGTACCAGTTATTTTCACTCTACAACCACGCTTGCCTTTGATAGGGGTGTTCTTCACCCTTATCTTTGTGGACCAAACGGAGCCCAGCTCGGGCCCGCCGTCGTTGGTGCCTCATCTTGGCCAGCCTTCCTTTCAAGAGATTCAACCTCCTTTGAGATCGTGTCAGAGCGCTCCAAAGCGCACCTCTCCCCTCCCCCCATCCACTGCTGTGTCCGAAGGGTTAGCCTGCACGCCTGTTAGTCACAGCATTGGAGATGGCGCCTGGGAAGAAAGGCCTGGCGATCTGCACCCCAAAAATCAACCACTGACAGCCGGATGGAGCGTAGTTCTGCCCCGAGGCACGTGGGGTTTAGGGAGTCAACTGAAGACAACTGGGTTTGGTTGAGAGCGGTCCGTTGTCGGAAGGTCACGGAAGGAAGGAAAGGAAGAGAGGGAAGGAATGCAGGATTCCTTGGAGGGATGGGTTCCGGGGTCATGGAAAACCGGCAGGTCCCTGGGGCAGGCAGGAGATTGGAGATTTTGCTGCAGGTTTATATTCTGAGCCCTAGGACAGGGCAAGTGCAGAGAGGCAACGAGAGCCCTTCCAAGTGTTTCTAGGCTAGTGGTGGCTCCCTCGGGAAGCCCCCTTCTCCACGGAGCCTTGTTCCTCGTGACACCAGATCACGCTGTGGACGATCATGGCATCTCACCGCAGAACAGGCAAACCCCTTGGGAACCGCGGCCCACCCCCATGGACACCTTAAGTTAGCTCCCGAGGTGGTGAAACAAGCAGGGTGTTTTCTCCACAAAACCCAAATGACTAGTGTCCCCTGGGGGAGAGTTGATCGTACTGGGTGGTCCCAGAGGGGACCTGCACGGAGCTGTCTTCACTTGAGACGAGGGGGCCCGGTTTCCGCTGCCCTCCTCTTGGAGTCTGGGAAGGCAGCTGCCTGTGGGTCCCACTCAGGAGCTGTCCCCTCCCTCCCCGCCCACCCACCCGTGTACGCGAGGCACGTTCGGCGGATGCAGCCCCCACGCTTCAGGGTTCTAAACCCTTTTCTCCAACGGTGTCACTTTTGAGCTAACTTCTGGGCAGGAGGGTGTGGCCGATGGTCGCAGGACGGACTTTTCAAATGACCGTCCCTGCTAGATTCGCTGTCGCTCAGTGGGGGGATTTGAAAAGGGGACTTGTTTCCCACCCCCACCCCACTGAGGGATTCAGAGTGGACAACCTACAGGAGAGAGTGGCCGGTGAGGTGCAGGGAAATAGGAATCCAACATCCTGTCCATCGGAGCCACACCGAGTTTGGCGGCCCTCCTGTTGGGAGTGTGGGGACATCTGGCCTGTGACGCCCCCTCCCCACTTCCTCCCATTTGT